TGCTGCGTCACCTGTAAAGTCATGGAATCAATTATTAACCAATCCATTATCCTCCACTTAGAGACAAACAACCTACTCTCTAATGAATATTTTGGTTTCAGAAAAAAACTATCCTGTAATCTGCAACTCTTACACTGCAAAAACATACGGACTACACAACTCGATCAGGGCAAAACAATAGACTCAATCTACATAGACTTCTCAATCTACATAGACTTCTAGCCTTTCATTCAGTGGTACACGACAAACTACTCCTAAAACTAAAATCTTATGGTATCTCTGGACACCTGCATAACTGGATAGAAGCATTCCTGTCAAACAGACAACAAATGGTCAAAACTGGGAGTGCCCTATGAAATTCTGTACCTGTCAATAGTGGTGTCCCCCAAGGCAGTGTTTTAGGACCAACTTTCTTCATACTCTACATAAATGACCTCTGTGATCACATTAAGAGCAACTGCGTTCTCTTCGCTGATGATGTAAAGCTGTTCAATACCACAGACAATACTGCTACCCTTCAACAAGACCTTGACTATGTATCAGAATGGTCAAACAAATGGCAACTTCAAATTTCAACAAATAAATGCTCTGTATTACATATTGGCAAAAAAAAAAAAATCAGAAAATAAAATACAAGCTGAATTGTCAAGACCTTGTTGATGATCCAAGCTCTGTAAAGGACCTTGGGATACTCATCTCTAATGATCTAAGTGCTAGAGCCCACTGTAAGTACATAGCCAAAAAGGCATTAAGAGTTATTAACCTAATCCTACGTAGCTTTTTCTCTGGTAATATCACACTACTAACTAGAGCATACAAAACATTTGCTAGACCAATACTCAAATACAGCTCATCAGACTGGAACCCACATTACGTATCTGATATTAACACAGTTGAGAAAGTCCAGAAATATTTCACAAGGAGTGTTCTCCACTTCTCTACTCATTGTAGAATACCTTATGCCACCAGACTTGAAATTCTAGACCTAGAAAACCTTGAATTACACCATCTTCTGTCTGATCTAAGTATGGTATATAAAATCATACATTGCAATGACTTACTTGTCAATGAATACTTCAGCTTCAACCATAACAACACAAGAGCACACAATAGATACAAACTCAAGGTTAACCGCACCAAGCTTGATTGCAGGAAATACGACTTCAGCAGCAGAGTGGTCAATGTCTGCAATACTTTACCTGACTCTGTGGTTTCTTCCCCAAACCCCAAAAACTTTAACCTTAGACTGTCTACTATTGACCTCACCCCTTTCCTAAGAGGTCTGTAGGGGGTGTGAATAAGCGCACCAACGTGCCTACCATCTCTGTCCTATTGTTTCTTTTATTTTTCTTATATGTACCCATTTCATGTATTCATAACTATGTATATACTTATACCTATTATCTTGTACGCGATTGACAAATCAAAATAAATAGATAGATAGATAGATAGATAGATAGATAGATAGATAGATAGATA